CTTAGGGCATCCCAAGGTCTCCTTTCCTTCCTTCCTTCCTTCCTTCCTTCCTTCCTTCCTTCCTTCCTTCTTTCCTTTCCTTCCTTTTTCCTTCCTTCCTCCTTTCCTTCCTTCCTTTTTCCTTCCTTCCATCCTTCCTTTCTTCTTTCCTTCCTTCCTTCCTTTTTTCCTTCCTTTCCTTCCGTCCTTCCTTTTTCCCTTCCCTTCCTTCTTTCCTTCATTCCTTCATCCCTTCCTTTTTTCCTTTCCTTCCTTCCTTCCTACCTTCCTTTCCTTCCTTTTTCCTTCCTTCCTTGTTTGTTTCCTTCCTTCCTTCCTTTTTCCCTTCCTTTTCCCTTCCTTCCTTCCTTCCTCCTCCCGCTGCCGCCCCCCCCCCAGCCCCGCATCCCGGACCCCCGCGCCGACCCTCCTCCGGGCGGCTCTCACCGGAGCTGAGCTGTATCCAGGCGCAGATCTTGTAGACGGTGGCCGTGTTGCAGAAGAAGAAGAGGGCGAAGCAGGCGATGCAGGTGATGACGAGCGTCATGGAGAGCCCGATGAAGAAGGAGGCGGCTTTGAAGGCGCCCGACGGGAGGCTGGCGAAGTCCGTGAAGCTGCCCTGGCAGGTGAGCTCCCGGGAGACGCCGCTGCCCGTGCAGAAGTGGAAGAGCCCGAAGTAGCCCGCTTGCGGGGTCTCCACGCCGTCGCCGATCCAGTAGGGCTGGAAGAAGCAGACCACGTTGACGATGGCGAAGCAGATGGTGAAGATGGCCCACAGCACCCCGATGGCCCGCGAGTTCCGCACGTAGTTGGTATGGTAGAGCTTGGCCGCGTCCTGCGGGGGCAGGAGACCCCCGGAGACCCCTGAGGAGGAGGAGGACGCCGGCAGCCCGCTAGAGACGGCCCCGGGCGTCGGCCCCGCCGCGCCGGGCATCCTGGACGCCCCGAGCCTCTTCCGACGACCCTCGCCTTGCTCGTTAGCCAAGCGCCAGACCCGGGCTTCACGGCGGGGGAGGAGGCGGACGGGGCTGCATCGCCTGCGGGCGCCCGGGCGAGGGTCGCGGGGTTGAGGTGGATGGCTGGCTGGCTGGCTGGTCCTCCCGGCTCGATGCCCGGCGAGGGATGGAGGGATGGAGGGATGGAGGGGGCAGCAGCACCAGCCGCAGCAGCCTGCCGCCGAGCCCCGGCGCGGCACAAGCGCACCAAACGCTCCCCCTAGCGCAGCTCTGGAAGCAGGCGAGCCCGGCTGACTCGCCCGCTGC